CAAGTCTGGCTGCGAGCAGAAATCGATGGAGAGCCAACGATGGACTCTGGCGTGTTCGGTGGATAACAGAACAGACTCGTAAATACTGGAAACGGGGAGTGCAACAAAGCCAAGTCAAATCACCACACTTCTGGAGCCAATGGATGCATGACAAGGTCAGACTGTAACCCGACAGCGATGGGTGGAGGGTGAACCAGGCATTTTTGTGCCTTCGGTGCCTACTGAATCAGACTCGGGGGGCATAAAATAGGGGGGACCCATCCATTCCTCAGCCTCTGGGCTGAATTTGGACCCTAACGTCAACACCCGACCAGAAGAGCGAACTCGCTGGAGGGCCAGTGGGGGGCTTTGGGGGGTCCGGCCACTGGGCAAACAAGGTCCCAGTGGCCCATGGAGGTGGAAGGAAGCTCACCCCAAGCCCCCTGTCCCCTTTCCACCCCCAGCGTAGGCAGTCACTTGCCTCCAGGTATCAGTCGGGACAGAAGTGGCTGTGGAGGGCCGGGGAGTGAGAAGGGTGGGTCGGTGCGAGCGAGGGAAAGGACGGGCAGGTGGAGACGCCCCCAGGCAGCCCCTCGAGCGGCCGAAAGCGGTGAATTTCCCACGCTTGACGGTAGGGGGGCCTACCGTCAGACTCATATGGGTAGGTATTCGCCGTGCGATATGTCATCCACTCTCGCGGTGTCGTGTGACTTGCGCGACTTAACTAGGTAAAGCCGTAACTCTTCTGGAAGTGGGGTCCCAGTCGAGGGCTGCTCCAATGTGGGCGGCTTGGCAACTCCTTCCTAGTTTCGTTGCAATGGTCACGTGACTCGTGGGAGTCCACCCCACGTGGCTGCAGAGACTGCCGTGGCTGGTCGGATAAAGCCGAACACAAGCTCGCGTGGTGTGCGGGCCGTGGCCTTCCTTAATTGGGAGGTTGGTAACCTTTCTGATCGGCTATGGCGGACTCCGTGGTTCGCGGGGCGGGTGACATCAATCAATCAAAGAATACTTTGGCGGCATCATCATGTGGTTCCCGGCAAGGGGAAACCTCGGAGTCGGCATGGCAAGCCGACATCACATGAACCCGGAACTTAACCGTGCCGGTATGCCGTTCGCACAGTATCGCTGACGCGTACAAGGTTTTATTTAGAACAACCAATCCCTTTCGAAGAATTACAGAGGTAAAGTTTCTCCGTAATTTGAAATGTCCCAGAAAGGTAGGGCCATTGTTCCTCGGCTGCTCGGCAGCCGATGGCATCGGCTCGGAGCTACCGGAAGTACTTCCGCTTAGTCGTGCACACTGACTTAGCGGCCCGTCAAATTTCAAAATACTACGCAGACCTGAAGAGCATAAAATGCGAAACGGGTAGAGGCTTAGTTCCCCAGAGAACTAGCCCGTTGTCTGCTAGTTTCGCTAACTCTAGTCACTCTCCGACTCGCTGCGCTCGTCGTCGAGTGCCTCCCTAACCCTAACCGTCGCCGGGTACCTCAATGCGGAGAACATTCACATGTTCATCGGGGATATTGTCATGGTCACCGTCGGCATCGCCCAGGTTCGTTGCGTTCGTCTCTAAGCCCGTCACCGCCTTCACATCCACTCCTCCCGACAGCGCGCCAGCGATCGCATCATCTGCCCGATTCCAGGCAGGTCCTGGTATTGCATCTGCGTCCATCTCATCCCGGTGCGTATCGCTTCCCCCTCATTCGTCTCTCACTCACGCTCCCTACAGGGTACCGTCATCCCTCCTGGCGTAATGTACTGCCAGCTTTGGGCCACCGTCCTCTCGCCACGTGGACTGCAGCACATCCGCTTGCGCGAGCTCGATCTCCCCTTCGAGGCCATCTGTACGTCCTTCCGTTCATATCTTGTACCCTCCGCATCACTTACTTGCATCTCTTCTCCGTAGCTCTCTCCCACTTGGCCGCGGACATCGACAGGGCCAACGACCCCGCCGTCATGCAGCTCATCAACGACTTTCACCCCTCCGTCTGGCGTACGTTCCTTCCTCTTCTATCTTTCGTCCTTCGTCGCCCTTACTTACATCCTCCCTTATAGCACTCCTCGACCGCATCCATAACCCGCCCCGTGCCGACATCACACCCCTCGGCCCCGTCGATGCCTACACCCCCCGCTTCCCTCACGACGACGCTCTCATCCGCAGGCCCGGTATCTTCTTTTCCTGACATTCCTTTCCTCTTCTCCATGCACTAACATCTCCTCCCTTTCCCCTCCAACAGATCTCCCATTCATCTTCGAGTTCAATCTCGTCAGCGCCCACGAGCTCGGCCCCGACCGTCTCCGTCTTCGCCAAGACGCTCTCCGTCTCACCTCCGTCGATAGCCACCTCCCGTCCTGGGAGGTCCCCGATAGCGAGAGCGACGAGGAGTCCGTCTCCGAGATGCTGGGACGCAGGGCGATCGAGGAGGTCAATGAGTGAGCGCGGTGCTCCCTTCGCATCATATGTACTATTATGTCTAGTTCTCTGCTTGTCTGCTATATGTTTCTATATACTTTGTAAATAAATGCATGAGTTTAACTATGTCTCTTGACTTTTGGCCTTCCTCGCATGAAATGATATAGCCACAGACACTCCAAATCGTCCCCGGACGGTTCGTATGCACTTTCTTACATGTAACAGACTCGATCGTCCTAGGACGGTTGCCCGCCTCACTCTGCCCACTTCGCTCACCCAACCGTCTCAGGACGGTTCACCCCTGCTTTTCGCTCTCACTTTGCATGTTTA